ACTTCAGATTGTAATGTCAAAAGAACTCTATATAATTTAATAAATACTTTTGTACATGCTTCCATTGGTTTTTCACTGTTTTCTCTCTAATTTGATGATAGGTATCGGATCATGACTATCACTTAGTGTTGGTACATTAAATAAATTTCCTCAGCTAAGAAGGGTTAAATAAAATTAGTGACCTAACATCAATTTTGAGGAATATATTATAGGGACTAGAAATACTGCTCTAGCATGTGTTTCTAGGTCATAACTGACCTTCTTAAGCCTGACTCAAAGTCTGGAAAGTTGTATCTCAATGGCCATAGAAAAAGAAAAGTTAATTTTGAAAAGGGTATTAAAGTAATAAATAAGTAGAATTGAGGTTTTGTTGTTGTGGGAACTTATTTTCTAATAAATTATTAATAGTTTATTAATAACTTTTTTTCTCATTTAATTGTGTCTAGGTGTGTATATTGACATTTTTTTAAAGCCATCAGTTTAAGTTTTGAAATATTTTCCAACAATGAATAGCTATGGACATTAAAGAGTACTAAACTTTTTGGTACTTTTTTCTTTGCTGTTAGTGAAAATGATAATTTTTACTCATCCGTGTATTGTTAGCATCAAATAGACTAATTGTTGTCTGAATGAATAAATGCATCAATGACAATAAATGAGTTAGTCTACGTTGTGCAATTATAAATGATCCTGTATCTAGATTAATAAATACAAGAATTAATAAATGCAAGGGAAAACACTTGCACTGTGTGCATTTTCATGGGATGTGAGAACACAGAAGGTGATGAATAGGAAAAATTAGATCTTATTTTTCCCTAAAGAAGTACCTCGGTGATGGAGAGTAGGAATCAATAAAGTAGAGTCCAGTTTACAAAATTTTACCAAGCTTCAGGACCTGGAACAAAGGCAGTTTGAATCAACTATAATAACATTAAAAAAGAGATTAGAATTTGAAACTCTCCTAAAAACTTCCAAACCTTGCATTTTTCCCAATCACAGCAGAATGTGTGTGTGTGTGTGAGTGTGTGTGTGTGTGTGTGTGTGTAAATCATCCAGATTGCTAAATCACCTCTCATATTCAGAGTAGCAAACAGAGTGTTAGAGAATTCTGGGGCCTTCTGTAAGGTCATACAAGTAGTGAATAGCTGAACCAGGCTACTGGAAGTCCAGAAACCAGGAACTGCCTTGCATGGGAACACACAATCTTAAATCGTAACGGTGCAATCACAGGAGCTTTAAAATTAATCAGGTTAATACAAGCCCACCTCCTCTATTGTCCTCTCTTTTTATAATTATTCAGTTTTTACTTAAGATGATGTTGGCCATATATATCCGGAGACTTTGAAAAGAAAGTTAGCAGATTTCTTCTTATTATGAATAAAAGCAGTCAAGGAGTCATCTACAGATAAGCAAACCAAAACCCTCTCCATCTCTCCTCCACTCTTCTCTCTGTACAGCTGATAGCAAATATTTCCCTATATCCTGATATTATGATTCTAGAATAACTTTTAAGGAGTCCCCTTAATGGTCACATGGTCCTGCTATCTATGTTTTGACAGAAAGGATTGCTTAAAAGAAACTATATCAAAGCAAAATGACCATATTTTTTGCAGTAGCTGCCCTTCAGCATTTAACTGGCTTATTAATAATAGCCGTATTCAGCAAATCATCTCATTAAATTACCTAGGGGAACGTTTTGCAACTTGATTATCTTAAATTGTTCCCTCAGCATTTAAGTTCTGTAAACACTCTACAAATGCATAAATGAGATTTTGATGCCTAGGAAAGTATTTGGTAACACCCACTTTATTTTTTTCCCTATTCCCTAGGAATAGCAATTAAGGGATTAAAAAGCCTCCTTGTCTAATGGTGAATGGAAGATGAAATTGATTCAAATTGGGGAAATTATTAGAACTCCTTTCGGTTCCTTATGCCATCAGTCCAACTATCTAAAATGATGGAGGGGCTTTTAATTTATCAGGCTAAGAGCTTCAACAATTGAAAGCTAAGTGACTGGAAATTCACAAGAGACTATCTGCATGCCTTCGGTTTGTCAGGAAGTTTCACTTCAAATGCTCAATTCTCAGAAATAGTATTTTTGGAGAATAACCTAAAGGACGTGAAGTCTCTTCGTCCCTCTGAATAATAAATTGTATCCTAGGGTAATCCAGATATCAGCTGTTGGCTTATTTCTGGCTCTTTCACCCACATCTCCACTCAGGTCAAAAGCAAAACTCAACTCTGGATTTCCACGCAAATATTCACTTTCACCAAGCATTTGATAATAAATTAGAACATATTTAATTATTGAGGTAAGGGGACATCCACAGGGGCAACTCTCTACTGCTTTGTGTAACTTTGTCCTTATCTGATCATTCAGTCTTCCTACTCCTTATCTCCTCCTTTCTGTATATGTGTCTATATACAATTTACAATATATCAAAGATTTATATATGTATTTTACTATTTATATGTATGTTTGTATATGTATGTCATATATCATATATGATCTAAAATTACTTTTCAGTGTAGATTTTTTTTTTTTTTTTTGCGGTATGCGGGCCTCTCACTGTTGTGGCCTCTCCCGTTGCGGAGCACAGGCTCCAGACGCACAGGCTCAGCGGCCATGGCTCACGGGCCCAGCCGCTCCTCGGCATGTGGGATCTTCCCGGACCGGGGTACGAACCCGTGTCCCCTGCATCGGCAGACAGACTCTCAACCACTGTGCCAACAGGGAAGCCCTTCAGTGGAGATTTTTGTAAGCTTTTTATTTCTTTTGGTCAATACCTATAAAGTGCTTTTACATGTACTTAAAACAATACACATACAGTGTCTGTTTTTACATCTCCCAGTGGTTGTGCGTCTTTCTGAGGTTTTCAATCATTTTGCCTATTTTTTTGGATCAAAACTTCTGTGAAGGAATCACATCTTCATTCACTAGGTGAAGATGAATGAAAAGAAAAATGGTACTGGAGTTTCTTATTTCCAGCAAAGTTGACATTACTTCCCCATAGAAAACCTTCCTGATTCCTGGACTCTATTAGTTCTCCCTATTATATGCTCCCAAAACACCCTCTTGTTTTTCAAAGAACTCATGTCTTCCTTCTGTGTTGGTTTGTAAACTCCAAAATAAGGATTTGTACATGTTTTATTCACTGTTGTGTTCATAGTTCTAGAACAGTCTCACTATCCACTAAAGACTGAATAATTGATGAATGAACTGATGAAGAAAGCAGATGTTGGGACAATCCTGGCTAATGACACAGCTATTCTAAGCAATTCAAAAACACACCTAGATTCCTTCCTTAACTTTACTAGTCATTTAATGACTTAGACAAGTTACAAGGTTTCTGGTCCAAACTGTTGTTTTCCACTGGTTTTTCAGTGCACTTCATAACACTGGACACCAGCCCAGTCTAATAAATTAGTCAGTTTATAAGTTTCAGAAAGCAAGGGAATTTACCTCTTGTTTATATGATAATTTTAAGTGCTTGTCTGAAACACGTGGAGGGGGGTAGTATCTCCAGTTTTAGAGGAAGCAACAAAAGAGGTCAGCTGACTTCCTCTGCAATAAAAGTTCTATGGAACCAATTAAGTCAGAAAAGAGAATCACAGTATGGTACCAAAACTGTAATGTGGTCTTATCTCCTTTTGAAGGATACTTAATATAAGTAGTACCATCAATTTAATGCAATCATGAATTTAACTTCCACAATTTGATTTTAGATAATAAATCCTCATTTTTCACTATAAATGTGGAAAACATTGTTATTCTTTCTAGTCAAATAAACATTGTAAAATATTGGCTCAACATAACGTAATACTGGGCTGAACTCTGAGGTTAAAAAAAGATTGACTAATCGATCTATTGATCTGTCTATATATCTATGTGTCTATCACTATTTCCAGGTTACAATTTATTTATAATTACACCTCTGAGAAATTGATATTTTCAATGGCAGTGATGGATTATTGGATTATTAGATATGTGATTTCAGAGAAAATATCATTTCATTTCTGTATAGTTATTATGGAAATAGTTTCTTTTTAATAATAGCTGTCATTTGTTAAGTGGTTATGATTCTTAATACCCTGGAATATACAATTTACTCAGCTTTCCTCTTTGCTTTCTGATGAAAGCTAACAGATGCAGCTGCTACCCTCATTTCTGTAATAGAGATGAGGGACACAGGCAGAGGTTACCATTTAAACTTTAAATGGTTAACATATGGCTCAGCCGAATGTTCACATTGCTTAGGATAGTTTAATCCATAAAATTATTTCAATTATTTGTAAATGTAGTCATAGTATTTTTTTTAAGGGGTTATTCAAATAGCATGTTGTCCAAAACATTTATTTTAGAAAAAGAATCTGGATTTAAGTGTAGAATGTTCAGGATAGGGTAACATATTTTATTTTCTTATGTTAATAACTTGTTTAACAGGTAATAATTTTTCTTGTATGTTGCTTCAAGTCCAAAACATCATAGTAATAAAAAAATGATAATGGAAATTTAAATCTATTTTAAAAATCCAGACTTTATTTGTAAGACACTTTACTACCCTCTGCCTGCCCTGCCCCAAACATTAAACAATAGTCTCTGGATATTATTTTAATCGGTATGTTAAGATTTTTCTATATATAATATTTTGTTTTCCCTGTCCACATGATTATTAATAATCAACAAAGTGGCTAAAGAGCAAACCAATATATGTGAAATTAAAAAAAAATCTTAATGGAGGTGAATTATCATTTGAATCATCAAGGATTCATTTTGAATTATCACTCCAGCTAATTTAAAAACAATTACATTTTTTTTGTGGAAAAATCTTAGAAATAACTTCATCTATATACAACTTCATTTATCCCAGTGGATGAGAAAATACCGTTTTTTTGATTTAATAAACCCACTTGCTCCATTTCAAGATAAATTAATTTTTTTAAAGATCACAACTTTAGTGTATGGGTATTTACAAAATATATTTGTATTGCCTTTACAGAAAGATAAAGAAGACCAGTGGCTAGAGAAAAAAGTGCAGGGAAATAAAGACCACATTATTTTAGAGCATCTACAGTGGACAATGGGGTATGAAGTTCAAATTACAGCTGCCAATAGATTGGGATATTCAGAACCAACAGTCTATGAGTTCAGCATGCCACCAAAACCCAACATTATTAAAGGTAAGCAAACTATATGGTTTCTTAGGCTGAAAATAAATATGACAGTATCTTTTATAACCCCTCTGGATTTTTTCTTAATATTGAAAACATAATTTTATAGAAGGACGTATAAATTCTAGGTTCTAATCATGATTATTTACATGTCTCAATAAAGATTTCTCAGTTGCTCTTGCCATAAAAGATTGGTTCATTTGTAAATGCACTTTGACAACTTTAGTGGTTGAAGTGGTAGAGAGAGAATGAGCAGAGGGGGAGGATGGAGGGTAAGAGAAACTGTTGAAAATCAACATGAAAAATATTCATTGAGACCAGAAAAAACTTTTGCAAAGGAGAAAACTTCTCTGCCAAACACATGGGACCTGGTCCTCCACTTCTGGGAAAATGAGCCCATTCATGCCTGACTAAGCAAGTTGAGTTTGGAAAGATAAAATCTCTCACACGATGAGGCAGAAACAACCACAGATACACCTGCAGAAAGAACTATGAATAGAGTTTCAAAGAAGCTCAAAAAGTTGCAGGACACTCATTATTGGTGGTCACAGTGCACTGGTGGCTACCTTTATTAGGGAACAGTGCTTACATTATTTTATGCTAGTGATATTGTCAAAGTCTACAGGAGGGATATTAAACTTTTTATCAGATACATGCTATAGAGGTGAAGATGCAAGAATTTGTCCTGATTCATAGTCAGTTAACTCTGCTAATGAGTTGTCATATTGGTCATATTTTAACATTCATCATTCCTTTACATATTTAAATTTTTTTAATTTAAAGTTTATACATACATGTATATATACACATATACTCTTTATATATAGATAGAGACATCAGAGCTGCATATTCATAAACATGATTTATTTAAGTCATATTATAATAGAGTATCAGTATTACATAATATTTTTGAGACTGGAAAAATGTTTGTCAATTCAGTCATGCTATTTAATCCTCTTATAATTTCAAATTAATATTAATTTCATTAGTATGACTTTGTCATACATCATCTTTTAATTGAAAGAAACCTTATACAATTAATCTTTCTATAAAAAAGGTAATTACTATTGGTTTTATGGTTTAAAAGTAATTTATATCATGGCTTTGTATTGCTAGTATTAATAAGTGCTTCCAATTATAATTTGAAATTAGGAAGTTGGAAGTATCTAGAAATAATATGGATAGCTGGGTATCATATTGTACTGACACTTTTTATAATTTACAAAGTATTTCTGCACTTATTGTCTCATTTTATTCTTGAATCTGAGTTGAGCAACAAAGAGTTATTCTCATTTTACAGATACAGTTTTGAGAGGCTAAAGTATTTGTTCAAGGTCAGAGCTACTTTAAATCCTATGACAAATCCCATGTCCTTACAATATGATACACCTAATAAAAAGAACGGTTGAATGAACTATTAAGTTCATTGTTTCTGTGAGTTTTAAACATCAATAAATGTTTCTACAATTATAATGCGTTGTGTTTGTAGTAATTATCCTCTCTGCAGATATCAGGAAAATGATATAAATATGATTTTTAATCTGAGAAAGAATCTTCAAAGGAGGATTGCAAGAGCAAACTTCATCCTCCTATATCTTTTTTTTTTTTAATAGATCTTTATTGGAGTATAATTGCTTCACAATGTTGTGTTAGTTTCTGTTGTACACCAAAGTGAATCAACCATATGCATACATATATCCCCATATCCCCTCTCTGTTGAGCCTCCCTCCCACCCTCCCTATCCCACCCCTCTAGGTCATCACGGAGCACCGCACTGATCTCCCTGTGCTATGCTGCGGAAGAGACATGTACCACAATGTTCATTGCAACACTATTTACAACATCCCCCTACATCTTTAATTTAGTTCATACACTTGAGGGAATAATTATTTTTATCAAGATAAAAATGAATATTTTTTGAAATGGAAATCAATATTTTAGTTATATTTTATAGACAAAATGCAAACTGTAAAAAAAATAGATTTCAGGCATGTTACTTTACATTATACTCCCAGAGTCCCTGTTATTCTGTTTTTATAAGAAACTGTTGTTAATAAAACCAATAGTAAGTATAAACAAAAAGATAAATAAATAAAGATAGAATATATATGAAGAACATATATATGAAGAATATATATATGTATATAGGCACAAAAATAACTAAAGTATGCTATGATGCATTTACTCTAAAAGTATTTTGTTTCAGTTTTGGAAAGTTAGTTTATGGACAGTGCTTAAAAGGAAAATGGTTTATAGTTTCAACTTTGCTCTTGTCAGTTAACTTCTCTTGATATGCATTTCCTAATCCCTAAGCTAGTTTCTTCTGGTTCTGCAATATTAAGATTCATTCATTCATTCATTCCAGTTATTCACTGGGGTCTTGCTTTGTGGAAAGTACTGTGATGAGTGCAGAGGAATTATCTGTGAAAAGTACAGAACTGGTTCTTGCACTGAAAGACTATACAATCTAGTAGGGAAGATAGACATTAATCAAGAGTTAGAGTATCCACCAAGTAGTTACAACTAAGAGATATGCTGGTGCAGTGTGCTGCCATGAGAGCCTTTGGCAAGTATACCTAACTTATAGGGGTAGGTGAGGCTTGAGAAAGGATTCCCTTGGAAAGTGACTTTCTGAAAGAAACTTGTAAGGAAGGAGACTTCCAGGGAAAGTGTCTTACATGGAAGAAGTCTCTGAAAGAAGAAGGAATTTGATTTGCTTTAAGAACTAGGAAAAAGATGGCTGGGAGAGAACCTGGAGGTGTGTGAACAAAAATAAGGATACCGAGAGATCTGTGACCCAACCAATCCAAGGTCTTCTAAAAACCATGTAAATAATTTTAAAACAGATCCTGAAAGTCATAAGAAATCATTTGAAGCAGGGAAATTATATGAATAGATAGACATTACAGACAGATTAATCTTGCTCATCAGGATAGAAGCAAGAGATGGATGAACACGAATGCTTGAAAAAATGTGATAACAGTAGAAAAAGAAAGCAATGACTAAATTCCAGACACATTGTAGATGTAGATTAACCTGCCTGTGTAACAGAATGGATTCAGTAGATATTGATGACTTTCTCAGGATGAACAATCTTATAAACAGAGCAGGATTTGGAGAGTAAGGGTCAAACATAAATCGGTTTGTTATTTGTTAGGTTTGAAATGTCAAATAGATGTTAGATATGTGTGTATGGAGATGAGGAGACAGCCATGGCTTGGAAATATACATTATGATATTTTCAGCCTTAACAGATAATTGATATTTAAAGCCTGGGTGGGGATAAAACCACACAGTGAGTAATGTCTAAGCTCTATGATAAATAGTCGATGTCTGTGATACTCATAGATGTTTCCCAGTACCCAATACCAGTACTTAGAAGGGTGACTGGCACAGCATTAATGTTCAAGGGGTGCTTCTTGAGTTACTGAAGAATAGAGTGTTAAGAACCATGTCCTGTATAACCATGTTATACAGGACAAGGAAACCCCTCCCTCCCCCAATGAGACTAGAGTTCCTGGAAAAACACAAGACTGTAGTATCTTGTAAGTTAAAAGACAGTCATATTTCCAGAAGAAATTTATCAATCACATTTGCCCCTTCAGACGCTGCTGAGAGGTCAACAACTCAACTGGAAGAGATGTGAAATTTGCTTATTACATACAGCTCTGCTGAAGTGCTTGGGAGAGAAATTAGGTAGGAATGAGCTGAGGATTGTATGGGAGGTTAGCAGGTTTAGAGTCCATGTTAATTTATGCTTTCAAGAAGCTCTGTATGAAGGTGAGCAGAGGGGGAAAAAATAGTCAGTGTTAGAAGGACTTTTATGATGAAAAAGGCTAGCATGTGTTTCACAGCTGATGACAGATCAAGCAGTCAAGGAAAAGTCAGACATACAGATGTACAGACAAAGCTATCTGAGAAAGTAGGAGATAGAATTCATCCCCTCTAAACTGTACAGATGACACAAAACCAGAGCATCTTACTGGAAAAGGGAAAGATAAAATATTTATTTTATCTATAAAAATGTCACAAAATAATGTCTAATTTACTGTGACTGAATCCAGAGACTGCTAAGGTCTCATGGAAAGCCAGATCAAAGACGTGCCCTTATAGTTCAAGAATTGTTTGATTTAGCTCTGGGAGGATTCTTGGGACAATTTTAGAATCTGCGATAGTTGATGGTGAATTTGGGAGCCTTTAAACCCACAAAATACTATAGAGTTAAAATTATGTATCAGCAAAATAAGAAAAAATGATCTTCATATGCCTTCATCATAATTACTCTTATATAATTTTTTATTCCATTTTAAAATACACATTATAAATTCAAACATATTTTAAATTAGTTATGTATAATAAACTAGCAACTCTTAAGCCTTATTTAATTTGGAGAATATATGGAGTTTAAAAGTTAATTTCATTTTAATTTATGTTTTAAATAGCATGCATTGTAAACTGTCCAAATAAAGTTTACGGACTTTGAATTAAAAAACCCAATACTTATGTGCATTCAGATATATTTAACTCTTTGAGTAAAGGAGCAAGCTAAATCCAGAGTACAATTATTTGTTGGACTAAGGGACTATTTTTTAACAATAGGCTTACCTTACATTCATATGTCATATATTCTATTGATAATAATGGCTTTTCTATGTACGTATCTTAGTGGATACCGCATTTCTCCATAGTTCATGATTCTGATGTGAAAACTATTTTATGATTAATAATATTTTCCTTTCTTCACTTAGTAAATGTGTTTATTTTGAAAGTGGTGTTCCTTGATTCACATAGAAACAGAGTATGCAAAAATCACAATTATGTTCTGTTTTGGAATATTCATACAGCATAATTCCGTCTCATTTTATTTTATAAACAATGAAAATATTGGGTAATATGACAAATTAATTCTTGTAAAACTGATTACAAAACCATCTATGGAACTAGAGGCTGTTAAAATGATATTTATTGATTTGTTCTGTAATTTTAATGGCTAAAAATATTCCTAACTT